TGTGCATCTCGATAGATAGACAGATAAATGGATAGATGGACAGATAGACTGATGGGTACTGTAGATAGATAGATTATTACAGACATTTAGATAGACAGGCATGCATACAAAAAACAGACACACAGACACACACGCACATATATATGTATATATATATATACATACACATACGTACATACATACACACGCAAGTTTGTACTCTCGCACATACCCACATACCTCTCCATCCATCCGTCCGTCAATCCGGCAAGCACGCCTGATGCACACACGCACGCATGCATGGTTGTATAGAACATACATTCATACATTGCATACACTATATTAAACTATATGCTATACACATCACTGCACTGCAGTGCACTACATTACACTACAACACACTACGTTACACTACAATCCTTTCCATTCCATCCCAACCCACTGCATTATTGCATCGCGCTACATGGCCCACATGCGTGCATGCATGCGTGCAAAACATATACCTACACTATAAGACACACGCACAGACAGACAGACAGACAGACAGACAGACAGACAGACAGACAGACAGACAGACAGATGTGTGGGAGCATGTGGAGGGAAACCCTTGCTTTCTCCCCGAGATGAACTCCTGAACACTAAACCTAAGCCCATTCTTCGAAACCAAGCTTCGGAATCACTCTGCTAAGTCTCTAGGGGACATGCGAAAGCCCAAAGGTCTGACCTATCACATCAAGTAAACCATAGCGGATACGAATTAGCTCGCAAGCGAATTTTCCCCGACGCCCTATGACTACCTATAATGCCAACCTTCTATACACAGAAGCACGGAGACCATCGCAAAACTTATACCCTGAACCATCGAAACTCGAAACCCACAAAAGCTTCCAGGATCGAGATGCCGTCTGGTTCACATTAGCCCCTTTCTGGACCAGGTACCGACACCTGGTTCAGGTCTGTAAGGTTTGGGTTTAAAGCTTTCGGTTCAGGGTTTAAGGTTTAGAGTTTGGGATTTGCAGGGCCGTGTCAAGTGCATCGTACTACAGCTATGAGCTGTCTCGGCTCTCGCGAGATCGACCTGTTCCATGGAGCCACTGGCGCGATCCAAGAGTCAGGGTTGAGGTTTCAGACGATTGATTTTCGAACCCAGCCATACCTGAAGGCGAGCCAAATCACCAATAGCCAAAGCCCATCTTAATCATACCGCAGGCCAAGATGCACATCCAGGTCCCCCTTTCTTGCTGCCTCGGTCTGGTGCCATGTATTGCAAAGAAGGGTTTGCAGATGCGAGAGACTGTTCAGTGTAGGCTTTACGGCCGGGCCACGATGGAGAGGGCACACAAGCCGCTTTGATCCACCACCTGTGCGCTGACGTTCAGGCCGTACTTTTCTTCAAGGTGCTTCATCACCTGCAGTGCAGACGGGTTTCTTCAGTTGCGGGGCACGCAGCATGCGACATCAGCACTAAGCAGAAAAATGACCTAGCAATGCAGAAAACATCAGAAACACAGGACAACGTCAGAATCGTTCCGACAAGCTGGGGACAGAAAGTTCAGACTTCCAGATCAGGCAGTATTGCCATGAGGTACTCTAGGCTCGTCCAGAGAACTTGTTCCTTGGCTGTAAACGAGCAAGAGTTCTAGCAATGTGGCACTGAGAACTGGGCAGAATCAATACAGTGGCTCATCTTAAAATTTTGTCCAGCATGGGAAATGATGTTGAATAGCCTAACTTTATGTGGCTCCTAATATAAACGAAGAGATTAGACAGGTTGGGAAATTTCGGGGCGGAACTCTGCCATGTGCTTGTGTGCAATGCGGATGTTTTTTTTGTGCTTGTTTTCTTTTGTTGCTGTCTTATCTGCTAGTGGTCAATGTTAAGGCACCCTCCAAAATCCTAGCTCTCTACTCCAAAAAAAAGCTGAAGCCCCAAAGCCCGAGGCTCCAAAACGCTAGAACTAATCATAATATTTACCTGGTTCCCTCTTGAGGTTATAGTAAAACTGATCACTTTTAATCCCTATTGGGTTTTACTATAACAAACATGTAAAATTGTAGCCACGTGTGCGCACATTAGACATAAAGCGAACTTGAAGTTAAGACTTTCAAACCCCAACTCTCGGACTGGCCACGAAGATCGGGAACTTCACGGCATGAGGATATATTAGCTTAATACAGGGGCCTTAATAACTAGCTTGATATAGGGGCCTTTATAATCAGCTTAATATAGGGGCCTTAACAATTAGCTTAATGTAGGGGCCTCAATAGTTAGAATAAGGTTTTGGGGCCCATTATGCTATGTATGTGAAAAGGAACCTCCCAAATAATATACGCAATTATTAAGGCCCCTATTGTAGCTCTAACCGTCTTTAGTCTTGGGTTGGCTTAAGCGGAGAATAAAGTCAAAGCTTGGTGAAACAGCTGGCTTGCAGAACCCTTCAAATAAAGCGAAACAATTTGAATTCCAGAAATCATCGCAGTGGCAGGAATAAGTCACATATGCATATTGATAACTGCTATAGGTTCCAGCTGATCAGTACTCATAGCAACAAACAACACCAATACAGACCCACTGTCGGCCTTGAGCGGTTCAGGTCGTGTCACGAGATCGAGCACCATCTTTGGCACCGGACCTGTCAAAAGGCTTGGTTTAGGGTTTAGGGTTTAGGGTTTCTGGAGGTAACTGAGCTTTACTCAGCTATGTCTCGCACATGAGACATCATGAGACCTTATGCCAGTCTCTTGAGAAGTTGCCGAGTCACGGCATCCGCGTTGAATCAGCTCCTCAATGACCTGACCGACTGAGTTTAGGTTCGAAATGGGCCAAATCGGCCGAATCGGCCAAAACAGGGACTGCGCATAGCTTCCTGAGCTTAAACCCTAACGCTGCCTTCTGAAGCGGCCACGATGTCAACCTTGGACTAAGTATCGAGCTGAGACAAGACCAAGCTGAATCAGCAAACCTGCGCCGGAAACTGAGCATACCGAACATGTACAACATAGAGGTGCGACAGTGAAGGCTTGGATTATGATCGTTATGATAAAACGTCAAATCGCAGCATCATCTACAAACCCCAACCATGCAAAACTTTCAGTCTCCCTGAAACAGTCATCCTCGCAAGCCCCATACTTGAAGCCTTCATGGAGGTACTACTTCAGTCAGACCATACTGAGGTTACCTGAATGTGCCTGCACCCCTCTCCCCATCTCTGACGAGCCCTGTCTCTATGGCTAAATGCACGCGCAATTAAGCATGTATGTATCTATAAGTAACTATGCTATAGAGATGAACACAAAAGCCATCGGTAAAGACACACGCACACATGCAAACATACATGTGCACTTACGTAGATACACCCTTTATGTACTTAAGCTGGTATACGTACAGCAACTCTGCAGCCACCAGCATATGAAGGGGCAAGGGGGGGGGGGTCTCAGAACCCCAAGTCCTAAACCCAGTGGAGCCTCGATGCTGGCCCACCGAGCAGCTTTGCGGAGGGCTTGATCCAAGTAGCCCTGCCTCTTATTTGCAGCATTTGCTTATCATTAATTGTAGTTAGAAGTCCAAATACTGTTATGTGTACATCTTTGTTTGTTGGTTTTGTCAACCCTAAACCCTAAATTGTTGTTGTGATTGGGATCTTGGATCGGGGCTTTCTGCTTGGAGTGTTAGATGCCGGCTCGCAGGGTTTTTGCTCCAGAGCTGCTGTTTGCAGTGGATCTCAGATGCAGAGAAGTAATGTATGAAGACGGCTTGGAGGCTGCGTAAGATTTGAGATATGTGCCAGGAGGTTTAGCAGCCAGAAAAAACAAAGATAACACACATAACATTGATCGCTTCACTAGATACCCGCTAGGATTCTGTGTAGGAGCTGGCCGAGAAAAGGAATGAGCTCGGGTTTAGGGCGCAGCGAATCCCAATTCCTCAACAGCAGGCCCTGCATGTTTCGGGTTTCTGAACTGTCGGTGGCAATCGAAACTGGCTGAACGCAGTTTCTAGGGCAAGATGCTCTGCTCGAGCCGTATGCATCACACATTAGACAAGTCCCGGCTTATTGGCACCCTAAGCCCTCAAGCTTAAACTTCCACACCCACTAAACCCTAAACCCTTCTTGAAGCAATGTACTCTAAACCATATTTATAAACCCCTATATAAGTGCATTTTGGGCAGCCGAGCGTCGCTTCCAGTTGCACCTTGCGCCCGGCGGCCGGGGTCGCCATGGCGCCGCGGAAGTTTCGAGGCAGAGATAGGCTACCAACTCCCGGACTTCGTGGACTTCAAGGCTGTTGTAGCATCTACTATACGATTTCTATGTCGTTGTAGAATATACTACAGTACGACACATATACTACTAGACTATGATATGAAAAACGATTAGCCCAACAAAGAGCTGGACAACATGGCCAGGTGAAGTTTTCGGCCCAGCCTGGAAAAGGAACTGACCCCGTTCCGGAACTTGCAGAATGTTGCACCAAGTCGGCTGCCAGTACCAGACTCCGCCTAAAAGAAGGAAAGCTTGAGCCAACATCAAAATCCGTTCCGACGGGTATTAGACACTATAAACCTTAAAGACGAGACCCTAAATCCTCATAGTGCCTTACAGGTTCCCTATAACCCCTACCTAGGCCCTAGGCCCGAGACCCAAGTCGCCCTAGTCAGATTATCCGAACGAAACTTACCGTGCTTCACAGCTTCATACACGAGAGCCCGAGTCCCGATTCCAGCCACTTGGACCTTGGGACATCGAAGGCGAAGTTATGGAAACAACAGAGGGGTCGTCAGCGACAGCTTGAGGCAAGGACAGGGTTGTATACTCTCCGGCAAGCCGATCTCTAGTCTTCGAAATCAAGCCATGACTGGAATGCGGAACCGCTGACACTGGCGGGCATTGCAGGGGAATACTACTGACACAGTTTTGTCGTCTGCCAGCTTGATAGGGTTGCGGGTTCGCCAACCCTAAACCCCTAAACCCAAACCCTGCATGTAAAGCCGAAACTTCAGGCAACTCCTGACTCCGGCGCCTCTGTCGGCACCCTCAAAAGCTTCGATGATGGCAAAGCCATGCGCCCACTCTGTTGAGGGATACAAAGGCCTCAGTGCGGAGATCCGAAAAGGGCCTGTGGGCTCTTGCAACTCGGTTATTGCAGGCGAGAAGGGTTTAGGGTTTATAGGGTTTAGCTTTTCGGCGCTCGCTCAGGTCTACTTTGGGGAAGTGCAGGAAGCTACGTCCAAAGCTTTCTTGGCTCAGCTTGATACTGCATACTGTATCGCTATAACAAATGCGAACTTATACGGTTTTTGCCGTTGATACTATTACTGATATTGCTTTTCTTCTTGCTGTCGCCGACGTTCGTGACTGCTGTTTTGAGCAACGTATGTCGAAATAGTCTGGGCTGCGTCTTCCCGAAATAGAAGGGGTGAATGTGATGTACATGTCCGTGTAGACGCAGATTAGCAACATGCATGTCTGCATGTACACATTTACCTGTTGAACTGGGTTTCGCAGTGATGTGTTCTGCCATGGGGTTCATGTTTCTGGTCTGTCAATTGGGACATGTGGGTCATGAGTCTTTCTGCGTACATGAAGAGGACTTCCAACGGCCGCTGTCAAAAGAAACGAAGGAAGGATAAACACCCTGAACCTTAAACCCTAAGCCTCAAACCCTAAACCCTTTCATCCCGAGACCCACCCCAAACCCTACCCTTCTACTCTTCGAAGTTCCCTAAAAGTCTCAACCCCAAACCCTAAAATGCTTAGGTTTGACTGGAAAAGCTCAGCCCCAAGCCCCTTGAAGTCGGGAAAATACTTGTTCAGAATGGATCGCAGCAGCGTCGATTTGCCACTGCCTCGGGTCGCATCGCCGGCAGTTCATCAAAGAATTGGGTTCAGGGCCTCATAGAGTCTATAGAGCTTGGGTTTAGGGTTTAGGGTTTAGGGTTTAGGGTTTAGGGTGTTTGGGGGGTTGGTTTAGGGTTTACAGGGTTTCGGGCT